TTTCAAAGTTTGAGTTTGTGGTTGGGAGTTTTAACCGGTTTTGTACTCTTGATGAGATAAACGATCTTTGTGAGCCTTGATCAATTAGAGCTCTAAGCTTGAATAATTCTCCTCGATGTTAAATTGAGACAAGCGCGGTTGGCAGTAAAATTTTGCTTTCACTTTCGGAATGAAGCGCTTGTATATTTGCTGTTTTTGAACAGCATGGTTTCTCGGTTTTGTTTTCGAGATTTTCGGGGTGTTCGGGTCTAGCTGTTGCAACTAGCCCTGTGGCTCTTTGCGAGTTAGAGCTATTTTGGGGGCTAAAATTATTAATGTGGAGCATCGAGTGATGCCTCTTTTGGCAGTAGACACAATTGAATTGGGGCACCGAATTTGCGCATATGGAAACTGTGCATTTAGACACTATTTCGGTTTCAACCGAAACTGTGCATGTATGCTTTATTTCGGTTTTTGATATATGTATTATTTCGGTTTTCAACCGAAACTGTGCATGTATGCATTACTTCGTTTTTTTTCATATGCATTATTTCGTTTTAAAACGAAAGTATGCATATGCATAATTTCGGTATTTTCTCATATGCATTATTTCGGTTTTCAACCGAAACTGTGCATGCATGCATTATTTCGGTTTTTGTGATATGCATTATTTCGGTTGTCTAACGAAAGTGTGCATATGGATAATTTCGTTTTTTCTAATATGAACTATTTACTTCTACTTAGTAAGGGCTATAATCCCTAAGCGCGGCCGAAAACCGCCTACGCAGAGAGAAGTTCTGCGCAAAAATAGTTCCGCCCTTCTTTTACGGCAACGCAGAAAGGAGAATTCTACTTAGTAAGGGTTATATACCCTAAGCGCGGCCGAAGGCCGCCTACGCGGAAAAAAGTTCTGCGCAAAAATACTTCCGGTCCACTTTTCCGGCAACACAGAAAGGAGAATTATACTTAGTAAGGGTTATAATCCCTAAGCGCTGCCGAAGGCCGCCTACGTATAAAGAAGTTCTGCGCAAAAACACTTCCGGCCCCCTTTTTCGGCAACACAGAAAGGAGAATTCTACTTAGTAAAGGTTATAATCCTTAAGCGCGGCCGTAGGCCGCCTACGCAGGGAAAAGTTCTGCGCAAAAATACTTCCACCCTTCTTTTCCGGCAACACAGAAAGGAGAATTCTACTTAGTAAGGGTTATATACCCTAAGCGCGGCCGAAGGCCACCTACGCAGAAAGAAGTTCTGCGCAAAAATACTTCCGGTCCACTTTTCCGGCAACACAGAAAGGAGAATTATAATTAGTAAGGGTTATAATCCCTAAGCGCTGCCGAAGGCCGCCTACGTATAAAGAAGTTCTGCGCAAAAATACTTCCGGCGCCCTTTTTCGGCAACACAGAAAGGAGAATTCTACTTAGTAAGGGTTATAATCCCTAAGCGCGGCCGAAGGCCGCTTACGCATAGAGAAGTTCTACCCAAAAATAGGGCTATAATCCCTTAGCGCGGCCGAATGCCGCCTATGCAGAGAGAAGTTCTGCGCAAAAATACTTCCGGCCCCCTTTTCCGGCAACACAGAAAGAATAATTCTACTTAGTAAGGGTTATAATCCTCAAGAGCGGCCGAAGGCCTCCTACGCAGAAAGAAGTTCTGCGCAAAAAAACTTTCGGCCCCCTTTTTCGGCAACACAGAAAGAATAATTCTACTTAGTAAGGGTTATAATCCATAAGCGCGGCCGAATGCCGCCTATGCAGAAAGAAGTTCTGCGCAAAAATAATTCCGGCCCCCTTTTCCGCCAACACAGAAAGGAGAATTCTACTTAGTAAGGGTTATAATCCTCAATCGCGGCCGAAGGCCGCCTACGCAGAAAGAAGTTCTGCGCAAAAATACTTCCGGCCCCCTTTTCCGTCAACACAGAAAGCAGAGTTTTACTTAGTAAGGGTTATAATCCCTAAGCGCGGCCGAAGACCGCCTACGCAGAAAAATTTCTGCGCGAAAATACTTCCGGTCCCCTTCTCCGGCAAAACAGAAAATAGAATTCTACTTAGTTAGGGTTATAATCACTAAGCGCGACCGAAGGCCGCCTACGCAGAAAGACGTTCTGCGCAAAAATACTACCGGCCCCCTTTTCCGGCAACACAGAAAGGAGAATTCTACTTAGTAAGGGTTATAATCCCTAAGCGCGGCCGAAGGCCGCCTACGCAGAAAAAAGTTCTGCGCAAAAATACTTCCGCCCTGCTGTTCCGGCAACACAGAAAAGAGAGTTCTACTTGGTAAGGGTTATAATCCCAGAAAGAAGTTCGTTTTCATGTATGCACTATTTCGGTTTTTGTCATATGCATTACTTCGGTTTTGAGTCGAAACTGTGCATGTATGCATTACTTCTGTTTTTGTCATATGCGTTATTTCGGTTTTCTAACGAAAGTGTGCATGTATGCATTATTTCGGTATTTTCATATGCATTATTTCGGTTTTCAACCGAAACTGTGCATATATGCGTTATTTCGGT